CCCATTGTGAGGTCAGCGCCGGCCGGACCCGCCCGCGGGCCGCGGCGCCGCCCGGATCCGCTCCGGGGACCCGGGCGGAGCGGGACTTGGCTGCGGGGATCCCGGGCGGCAGAGCAGGGATCAGGACAGAGGAGCGATCCGCTGCGGGGAGCCTCTGCGGGGACCCCGAGCAAAACAGGGATCAGGACAGAGTGGATCCCGGGCGGAGCAGAGATCCTTTGCAGGGATCCTAGGCAGAGCAGGGATCAGGACAGGGGGGAGAGCCACTGTGGGGACCCTCCGCGGGGACCCCAGGCAGAGCAGGGATCCTGGGTAGGGATCAGGGAAAATCCTCTGTGGGGATCCCGGGTGGAGCATGGATGAGGACAGAGGGAAGATCCACTATGGGGATACTCTGTGGGGACCCCGGGCAGAGATCCTTTGCAGGGATCCTAGTCAGAGCGGAGATCAGGACACAGGGGAGATCTGCTGCAGGGATCGTCTGAGGGGGTACCAGTCAGAGCAGAGATCCACTGAAATCCAGGGTAGGGTGGGGATCTGCTACAGAGCAGAGATCTTCTGTGGGGATCCAGGTCACAGTGGAGGTCCCTTGCAGGGGCAGGGACACAGACACAGCAGGGCACTGCAGGCACTGCAAGGATCGTGGCAGGGGCTCTGGGAGAGGCAGGGACTGACGGGGCCAGGTCTGAGGGAACTGGGCAGTGCCCGCAGGAGGGAAGCGGGGCGCACATAGCATAGGGCTGGCACAGTGGCCCCAAGGCTTGAATCTCACAGCCCAAAGAACCAGGCCCACTGCTACAAGACCACTGCACCACCCTGCCTCCCTGCCTGCTTATTTTGGGATCCTGCCATGGGGGAAGGTGCCTTTCCAAGGATAGCAAGAGGCTTGCGGCAACCATTGCCTCCACTGAACAGGATAGTGACAGCTGAACGGCAGCTAAGGATCAGCCTCCCTCGGCCTGGGCCTCTGTCGCGGGTCGGCGCGTTCCAGATCGGCATAATTATCAAAGGCAATAACGATCACTGGGAGCCAGAGGGGCCCTGCGAAAGTGCCTGGCCAGTGGAAGAGGCCGGACAGCTGGAGAGGCTGCTTACGGAAGGAAACAAACCAGCCGGGTCCCTGAGGTTTACCCTATAAATAGAATCAGTCCTAACACTGCAGCGGGATGGTCATAATTGCTACAGCCACTTGGCTGGACCGCGCTGGGCCTAATTGCCTCATCTGTTACAAGCAGAAGCATTAATACAAGGCACTTGCAGATCCCCAGGAAATGGCCCTGTCACTAGCTATTAGTGGTGTTAATAAGCTGCCAAAGAGGCCCAGGGACTCACTGAGTGGCGGAGGCTTGTGCCTCTAGCCGCTCAGCATGGTTGTGTCTAATCTGGATGGCTGTTCAAGGGACAGGCTTGTGTTCAGCATTGATGGAGTCCACAAACAGGGCCCAACCCTGCCCTTCCTCCCCGGCTCCCACCAACCCCAGCAGAGGCTTGCTCATCACCTGTACTGCAGGGGCGTGAGCATGCTTTGTTCTGGGAAGAGCTGTAGGAGAGGTCCCCAGTCACAGCTTCTCCGTGGCAGCTGGCTTGGCTTCCCCATGTTTCTTTCAACCCATCTAATCTCTACACCCCTGCCAGGCCAGGCCTCTCTTGGTCTGCTATCTGGTACCATGTAAACCAGCACAGATTGTTCCATGGTTGGATTGTCAGCAACGAAACCAGCACCCCCACCTGGGCTAGCCTGGGAGAGGAGGGTGTGTGGACACACAGCAGGACTAAAAAAAAACCGGTCAAAGGGCAAATGAGTTCCCTGCGAGCCACTGACCATCCATACCTGGAGAGACGGGCACCGCCAGGTCGCCCTTCCCAAAGAATCACCAACAATGCAACACGACTCAATTAACTGGAGGGTTGTTACAGCACCTAAGGTACCCCAACAGTCACAGTGGCCTTGACAAGAAGCAGGGTTCTCAACCAAGCACTAGATGAGAGGGGCCCTTTGATTCCTCTCAGTAGCAGGAACTACTGTTTTTTTCCCCGCACATGCCCACAGCTTATGCACTTGCCAACACTCACATACCCACACCCATCTGCACGTGACCCTCTCGGGTAACCCTTGTTGACATCTCAGTTTCCAAGTCCTACCCAAGCTTGCTGTTTGGCTTTTGAGCTCATTCCCACACAAAACGCCCTTTTGTGGATCAAAAGCCTGATTGTTCCATTCCTGCTGCTAATACAAAAGACAGTTGATGAGTAGGATTCTCAAAACGCAGCGTAGGTCATTCAACAAGCCACCTGCATAGCAGTTGCTAATTGCACAACATGGGGAGCAATCATGAGATGCAAAGGGTGTCCATAAAGAGCAAAGGTAAAGGCATCCATGCACAGAGTGAACCCATGGACTTCTTGGACACGAGCCTTTGCAGCAGAGGAGCAGAGACCTGGACCTGAGTTACAGGAAGGTCACTAAGCCTCGGGGTCCCAACGCACTCAGTATCCCCCAGAAGCCTGCACCCTTCCCTGTAAGCCGTGGCTATCCTCTCCGGCCAGCCTCACCGAGTGGAACGAGACCCGAGCCAGAGATTCAAGGGGACCCGGGCCCTGCTTGCAGGCTGCAGGCCGGGGGCACCGAACAACGGCCGGCCAAGTGCCAGGGCACTTATCTCCAGGGACTCGGCTAGGGAATACATAGCCTGCCCTCAAGAAGCAGGGCAGTAACCCAGCATGCGAGCTACCAACTGGCCAAAAGGACATACTAGCCACCCAAAAAGAGGGGGCGTAATACCTGTCCCCTGAGATACAGGGAGGTTGCCTGCCCAAAAGTAGGAGTGGGGGGAGGGCTAACGCTCCCTGAGGCCAAAAGGCACGGAAACCTATACCAGTGCTTATCCCACTAGGTACGGAGGTGGGAGGAGAAGGCTACGAGAACGCATCTCGCCCCTTTCCCAGCACTGGGAAGAAAATAAAGAAAGCTGCTGTGGTTTTAACAACAAAAAGAAAATAACAAACGCTCTCATTCCCAGGCGCTCCTCTCTCTCTCACTCTCCACACTCCTACAAGGGAAAAAGTGTTCCCAGGCCAGAAAGGAGCTCCATGCCACAAACCACTTCACCTCCAGCCTTACACTGGAAAATCCTCCTCTGCTCCCAGGGGGCAAGAAGGCTGAGACCGGCACCCTCCTTACAGGGTACGGCCCACCTGACCAGCCAGGCTGCCCACAGGGGGCAGAAGGGACAGGCCCACAGCCCTGCTTACAGGGAGGGTCCTCAGCCAGCCAAAGGACAGAGCTGTCCCCAGAGGCACAGTGACACCTGCACCCTGCTTACAGGATGGTCCACAGCTCTGCACAACCAAGTCCTCCACCAAGAGGCACGGGACTCGCACCCTCATTACAGGGCACGGTCCGTCTGGCTAGCCAGACTGCTCGCAGCGGGTAAAAGGGAAGGCCCAGAGCCCTGCTTACAGGGAGGGCCCACAACCAGCCAAGGTGACACCTGCACCCTGCTTACAGGGTGGTCCACAGCTCCGCAGAACTTAGCCCTCCACCGAGAGGCACGGGACTTGCACCCTCGTTACAGGGTGGCCCCCCCCATCCGGATGAGGAGTGCCAGGCACAGATGCAGGAAGAAGGACAGGTGCCTGGACACAGGGATCGGAGAGAAGGCCACGAGCTTCAACCCAGCCACGGGAAGGTCATCAAGCTCTGGGTTCTAAAGAGTTTGCTGTCACCCCACGAGACTCGGCTCCTGTCTGCAAGGTGTCCTGCTGCACAACGCTGCAGACTGCTCCGTCTCTCTCAGCCCAGCCAAAGGAGGCTACGCCCACCCTGCTTACAGGGGCACCTCTCCGACTGGCTGGCTATGGCAGCAGACCTGGCCTCCCAATTACAGGACATCCAGCACTACGCACGTTCAAATCCACTGTCCTTCTTGTGTGGTAGGAGGCAGCACGCGCCCTGCTTACAGGAGCCTACGCCATCGGCAGCCACCTCTGGCAGCTGGCCTGGACCCCGATTACAGGGCGGCTGCGCTGCACAAGACCACCAACCAGATCCAAGACCTTTACAAACGAGGTGGTGGTGACACACGCCTTGCTTACAAGGTTGTCCACCGTCCACCCGACTGCTGCACAAGTGCAACAGCATCAAGGGCAGAGACCCATTTCCAGGTTACAGGGAGCTTGCCCAAAGGCTCATGGAGCTGAAATTTGACTAAGACATGATTGAGACTTAAAGGCAGGGAGGTGATTCTGTCCAGAGTCCTTTTTCTTCGCATTCTGTTTCTCCGGCTGGCTTTCGTCCTACGTCTTGTCTTCCCTGCTGCTCTTCCATCCGCTTCTCCTTCTGGTTCTTGTGAGGCCTGCAAGAACAGACACCAAGACCGGCTGTAATTGAACACGTGTCTAGCTGCTGCAACTTCTCTCTTTTGAGTCGTAACTTTAGTTGGTTTCAATGTGCACAATATCCTCTGAAAACCAGCAACCTTCTCCATTACCCATGGGCAAGACCTGTGGATCAACCTCACAAAGTAACCTAAGATGAGAAGATGTAAGGCAAGGGTGGGCAAAATGCAGACCATGGGCCAGATGTGGCTCGCCTGACCATTCTATCCAGCCTGAGAGGCCCCTAAATTTTAGAAAATTAATATTTATCTGCCCTGGCTGCCTGTCATGCAGCCCTCAATGGCTTGCCAAGTCAGTAAGTGGCCCTCTGCCCAAAATAATTGCCAGGCTCCAAGATAAGGACGGGAGACCTGGATCTTCCTTGCAGGCCAGGAGGCACAGGAGGTCCCACCATTTGAAACCTTCCAAGGCTCATAAATCCCAGGGCCAACAACTTAATGATGGAACCCA